CTCCCTTACAAACATTCTCTCAGCTCTCCCTTCCTCCCTCACAAACATTCTCAGCCTCTCTGTCCTTTCCATCTCCCTACATACATTCTCTCAGCCTCTCTCTCCTCCTTCCTCCCTCACATACATTCTCTCAGCCTCTCTCTCTCTCTCTCCCTTCCTCCCTCACAAACATTCTCTCAGCCTCTCTCTCTCTTTCTTCCTCCCTCACAAACATTCTCTCAGCCTCTCTCTCTCCCCTTCCTCCCTTACAAACATTCCCTCAGCCTCTCTCTTTCTTCCTCCTCACAAACATTCTCTCAGCCTCTCTCCTTCCCTCCTCACAAACATTCTCTCAGCCTCTCTCTCTCTCTCTCTCCTTCCTCCCTCACAAACATTCTCTCAGCTCTCTCTTTCTTCCTCCTCACAAACATTCTCAGCCTCTCTCTGTCCCTTCCATTCCTCCCTCACATACATTCTCTCAGCCTCTCTCTCTCTCTCTCTCCTCTCTCACAAACATTCTCTAGCCTCTCTCTGTCCTTCCATTCCTCCCTCACATACATTCTCTCTCAGCCTCTCTCTCTCTCCCTTCTCCCTACAAACATTCTCTCAGCCTCTCTCTCTCTTTCCTCCCTCACAAACATTCTCTCAGCCTCTCTTCCTCCCTACATACATTCTCTCAGCCTCTCTCTCCCTTCCTCCCTCCACAAACATTCTCTCAGCCTCTCTCTCTCTCCTTCCCTCCCTCACACATTCTCTCAGCCTCTCTCTCTCTCTCCCTTCCTTCCTCCCTCACATACATTCTCTCAGCCTCCTCTCTCTCTCTCTCTTCCTTCCTCCCTCACACATACATTTCTCCTCAGCCTCTCTCTCTCTTCCTTCCTCCTCACATACATTCTCTCAGCCTCTCTCTCTCTCTCTTCCTTCCCTCCCTCACATTTCTTCCTCAACCCCTCTCTCTCTCTTCCTTCCTCCTCACAAACATTCTCTCAGCCTCTCTCTCCCTTCCTCCCCTCACAAACATTCTCTCAGCCTCTCTCTCCTCCTTTCTCTCTCACATACATTCTCTCACTCTCTCTCTCTCCTTCCTCCCTCACAAACATTCTCTCAGCCTCTCTCTCTCTCTCTCCTCCTTTCTCCTCACAAACATTCTCAGCCTCTCTCTCCCTCCTTTCTCTCTCTCCTCACATACATTCTCTCAGCCTCTCTCTTTCCTTCCTCCCCACACACATTCTCCTCAGCCTCCTCTCTCTCTCTTCCTTCCTCCCCACATACATTCTCTCAGCCCTCTCTCTCTCTTCCTTCCTCCCTCACATACATTCTCTCAGCCTCTCTCTCTCTCTCTCCTTCCTTCCTCCCTCACATACCTTCTCTCAGCCTCTCTCTTCCCTTCCTCCTCTCACAAACATTCTCTCAGCCTCTCTCTCTCTCTCTCTCCTTCCCCTTCCTCCTCACATACATTCTCTCAGCCTCTCTCTTCTTCTTCCTCCCCACATATTCTCTCAGCCTTCACTCTCACACATTCTCTCTCAGCCTCTCTCTTCTCTTCCTCCCTCACATACATTCTCTCAGCCTCTCTCTCTCTCTCTCTTCCTCCCTCACTACATTCTTCTCAGCCTCTCTCTCTCTCTCTCTCCTCCCTCACATACATTCTCTCAGCCTCTCTCCTTCCTTCTCCTCACATACATTCTTCCTCAGCTCTCTCTCCTCTCCCTTCCTCCCTCCACAAACATTCTCTCAGCCTCTCTCTCTCTCTCTCCTTCCTCCCTCACATACATTCTCTCAGCCTCTCTCTTCTCTCCCTTCCTCCCTCACATACATTCTCTCTCAGCCTCTCTTCTCACTTCCTCCCTCACACATTCTTCAGCCTCTCTCTCTTCCCTCACACACATTCTCTCAGCCTCTCTCTCTCTTCCTTCCTCACATCACTTCTTCCTGCCTCTCTCTCTCTCTCTCCCTCCCTCACATACATTCTCTCAGCCTCTCTCTCTCTCTCTCTCTCTTCCTCCCCACACATTCTCTCAGCCCTCTCTTCCTCCTCCTCACATACACTCTCTCAGCCTCTCTCTCTCTTCCCTCCCTCACATACATTCTCTCAGCCTCTCTTCTTTCCTCCCTCACAAACATTCTCAGCCTCTCTCTCTCCTTCCTCCTCACAAGCATTCTCTCAGCCTCTTCCTTCCTCCTCCCTCACATACATTCTCTCAGCCCTCTCTCTCCTCCTTCCTTCCCTCCCTCACAAACATTCTCTCAGCCTTCTCTCTCTTCCCCTCTCCCTCACAAACATTCTCTCAGCCTCTCTCTCTTCCTTCCTCCCTCACATACATTCTCTCAGCCTTCTCTCTCTCTTCCTTCCCTCCCTCACATACATTCTCTCAGCCTCTCACTTCCTCCCTCACATACATTCTCTCAGCCTCTCTCTCTTCTCTTCCTCCCCACATAACATTCTCTCAGCCTTCTCTCTCCTCTTCCTTCCTCCCTCACATACATTCTCTCAGCTCCTCTTCTTTCCTCCCTCACAAACATTCTCTCAGCCTCTCTCTCTCTCTCTTCCTTCCTCCTCCACATACATTCCTCAGCCTCTCTCTCTCTTCTTCCTTCCTCCCCACATACATTCTCTCAGCCTCTCTTTCACTTCCTCCCCTCACATACATTCTCTCAGCCTTCTTCTCTCCTCCTTCCTCCTCACAAACATTCTCTCAGCCTCTCTCTCTTTCCTTCCTCCTCACATACATTCTCTCAGCCTTCTCTCTTCTCTTCCTTCCTCCCTCACATACATTCTCTCAGCCTCTCTCTCTCTCTTCTCCCTTTCTCCCCACACATTCTCTCAGCTCTCTCTCTCTCTCCTTCCTCCCTCACATACATTCTCTCAGCCTCTCTCTCTCTTCTCCTTCCTCCCTCACAAACATTTCTCAGCCTCTCTCTCTCTTCTTCCTTCCTCCCTCACATCACTTCTCTCAGCCTCTCTCTCTCTCTTCTTCCTTCCTCCCTCACAAACATTCCTCTCAGCCTCTCTCTCTCTCTCCCTTTCTCCTCCTCACATATTCTCTCAGCCTCTCTCTCTCTCCTCCTTCCTCTCTCCTCACATTCTCTCTCAGCCTCTTCTCTCCTTCCTCCCTCAACATTTCTCTCAGCCTCTCTTCTCTCTCCTCCTTCCCCTCCCTCACAAACATTCTCTCAGCCTCTCTTCTCCCCTTCCTCCCTCACACACACATCTCCTCTCATCTCTCTCCTCCCCACATACATTCCTCTCTCTCCTTCCTCCTCACACACATTCTCTCAGCCTCTCTCTCTCCTCCTTCCTCTCTCACACACATTCTCAGCTCTTCTCTCTCTCCCCTTCCTCCCCTCACACAATCCATTCTCTCAGCCTCTCTCTCTCCCTCCTCCCCAAACATTCTCAGCCTCTCTCTCTCTCTTCCTTCCTCCCTCACATACATTCCTCTCAGCCTCTCTCTCTCTCTCTCTCCTTCCCTCATATATTCTCTCAGCCTCTCTCTCTCTCCCTTCCTCCTACATACATCTCTCAGCCTCCCTCTCTCTCTCTCCTTCCTCCCTCACAAACATTCTCTCAGCCTCTCTTCTCCTCATTACATTCCTCTCTTCCTCTTCCTTCCTCCCTCACATACATCTCTCAGCCTCTCTCTCTCCTTCCCTCACAAACATTCTCTCAGCTTCTCTCTCTTCCTCCTCACATACATTTCAGCCTCTTCTCTCTCTCTCTCTCTACCTCCCTCCCTCCCAGGCCCCCCTCCCTCCTCTCTCCCCTACACAAGTCCTACTCGAGGAAGGCGTGACCTGAGACGAGTGTGGCGGCCATCTTGAGTATTGATCACGATATTACTCGAAATATTTCCTCTATTTTTCGTCATTCGTCATTTATTTCAATCACTCGGGTTCAGAAAAGACTACAGAGCTACAGGTTATTGATACAGGTACTCTTACAAAGGCCGGTACAGGTGTTAATTATGTAGGTTTGGTTTATGCAGTTTACACACCTGTGATATTGTGGTATGATTAAGAGTGTTTTAGAGAGAGAGAGAGAGAGAGAGAGAGAGAGAGAGAGAGAGAGAGAGAGAGAGAGAGAGAGAGAGAGAGAGAGAGAGATTTTTGCTGTGTGTCTGTTGAATGTTTCGGGTTAGCATCTCTGAGTTACTTGGAGTGTGTGAGTGAGTGTTGGAGCGTGTGAGTGACTGAGTGTTGGGTGTGTGTGGAGTGGAGTGTTAAGTGTGTGAGTGACTGAGTGTTAAGTGTGTGAGTGGCTGGGAGTGTTAAGTGTGTGTGAGTGATTGAGTGTTGAGGTGTGTGAGTGTGTGGGAGGATTGGAGTGTTGAGGTGTGAGTGACTGAGTGTTGAGGTGGAAAGGACTGGGGTGTTGAGTGTGTGAGTGACTGCAAGTTGAGTGTGTGAATGACTGAGTGCTATGTGGAGTGTGTGGAGTGACTGAGTATTGGAGTGTGTGAGGACTGAGTGCTGAGTGTGTGTGAGCGACTTCTGTGCTATGTGAGTGACTGAGTATTGAGTGTGTGAGTGACTGAGTGTTGAGTGTGTGAGTGACTGAGTGTTAAGTGTGTGAGTGACTGAGTGTTGAGTGTGTGAATGACTGAGTGTTGAGTGTGTGAGTGTGTGAGTGACTGAGTATTGAGTGTGTGAGTGACTGAGTGTTGAGTGTGTGAGTGACTGAGTGTTGAGTGTGTGAGTGTCCATTATAGTCGTATAGGCTATATTACTCTCCACTATGGCCACAAGGACTACATCACTCTATAATATAGTCTCTCGGGCCATAATCCTCTAAAATATACAACGAATCCTCTATTTACCGGACTACAGGGAAAGGAAAATCCGTTATATCTAGGGTATATCAGATGTGAAACCTCTATATAACGAACTGTAATAGAGAGTAAAATCCGTTAGATATCAAAGGTCCGTTAGATATGAATCACTACCCTAACTAACGGACTATGTGGGGGAGAGAAGTCCGTTATTTGGAGGTTTCACTAGTAGTCCTTTATTAAACACGTGACAATACCTTCCTGGTGGCGAGGAGACTTACCTGTATGGGCAAGAAGAATGGGGAGGGGAGTGAGGTGGAGGGGAGTGAGGTAGTGTTGGCATGCGAGGTGAGGGGGGCGCCGACCCCAGGGGTGCGGGCCACCACAGCCTGGAGAGGAGGAACGAGGAGGACAGTTACTCCTCATGTGCCTACGAGCATGGACGGAGGAGGAGGAGGAGGAGGAGGGGAGGAGGAGGAGGAGTGAGAGCAGGAGGAGGAGAGGAGGAGGAGGAGGGAAAGAGGAGGAGGAGGAGAGGAGGAAAAGAGGAGGAGGATGAGAGGCCTGGTGGACACAGTAGCTAGGAGGAAGGAGACAGAGAGACAATAAACACTTTTAGTCGTGCACATGATACACCGTACATAACACTGAACAACACTGAACATAACACTGAACATAACACTGAACAACACTGAACAACACTGAACAACACTGAACATATAACAGGTCAATCAGGACTGTTAATTATGCAATACATGAATTACCTACCATTAATACGACAATAAACATGATCATTACAGCCAGTCATAAGCACATAAGGCGGGGAAAAATAATAATTACATGTAGATATGAGTAATAACATGAGGAAGGTGTGAGGTTAAAGTTCAAAGGTCAATGTTGAGAGGTCAATATTAAGAGGTTCTATATAAAGGGGTTAACATAAGGGGGGGTTAATGTTAAGGGTGCATTATAAAGGGGTCGATGTTAAAGGGGGTCAATATTAGGTCAACTTATTTTCCTCTAACGTTAAGTGTGGGGAAGGAGTGTGGGGGAGGGGGAGGTGTGTGGGGGGAGGGGAGGAGGTGGGGGAAGGGGAGGAGTGTGGGGGGAGGGGGAGGAGGTGGGGAGGGGAGGAGGTGGGAGGGGAAGAGTGTGGGGAGGGGAGGAGGTGGGGGAGTGGGAGGGAGGTGGGGAGGGGAGGAGTGGGGAGGGAGGAGTGGGGGGAAGGAGGGGAGGGGGTGTGGGGAGGTGTGTGGGGAGGGGAGGAGGGGGAAGGGGAGGGAGGGAGGAGTGTGGGGGAGGGGGGGAGTGAGGAGGGGAGGAGTGTGGGGGAGGGGAGGTGGGGGGGAGGGGAGGGGGGAGGGGAGGGGGGGGGGGAGAGTGTGGGGAGGGGAGGGAGGAGGGGGAGGGGGAGGTGGGGGGAGGGGGAGGTGTGTGGGGAAGGGAGGGGAGTGTGGGGAGGGGGGGTGGGGGGAAGGGAGGAGGGGGGGGGAGGGAGTGGGAGGGGGGAAGGTGGGGGGAGGGGGAGGTGGGGGGGGAGGTGGGGGGTGAGTGGGGGAGGGGGAGGAGTGGGGAGGGGAGGGGGAGGGGAGGTGTGTGGGGGAAGGGATAAGTGTGGGGGGGGGGAGGAGGTGGGGGAGGGGAGGTGGGGGGAGGGGAGAGGGAGTGGTAAGGGGAGGGGTAAGGGGAGGGGAGGTGTGGGGGGGAAGTGTGTGGGAGTGTGTGGTGTGGTAGGGGAGGTGTGTGGGGAAGGGAGAGTGTGAGGGGGGGGAGGGGTGTGGGGGAGGTGTGTGTGTGAGGGAGGTGTAAGAGTGGGGGAAGGGATAAGAGTGTGGGGGAGGGGGGTGGGGTGGACAAGAGGTGGGGGAGGGAAGGTGTGTGGGGGAGGGGGAGGTGTGGGGGAGGGGAGGGGGAGGGGGTGGGGTGAGGGGTAGGAGTGGGGAAGGGGGGGAGGAGTGTGGGGAGGGGGGAGGTGTGTGGGGAAGGGATAGAGTGTGGGGGAGGGGGAGGAGGTGGGGGAAGGATAAGAGGGGGGAGGTGTGTGGGGAGGGGGGAGGGGAGGTGTGTGAGGTGTGGTGTAAGGGTGGGGGTAAGAGTGTGGGGAGGGGTAAGTGTGGGGGAGGTAAGAGTGTAGGGGTTGGGAGTTAAGGGGAGGTGTGGGGAGGGGAGGTGGGAGGGGAGTGTGGTGGAGGAGGTGGGAGGAGGTGGGGGAAGGGAGGGAGGTGAGGGAGGAGAGGGAGGTGTAAGGGGGGGGGGAGGGGGGGAGGGGGAGGAGTGTGTGAGGGGAGAGGGAGTGTAGGGGAGGGGGGGGAGGTGGGAGGGAGAAGGAGTGTGGGGGAGTAGAGGAGTGTGGGGGAGTGTAGGGAGGGGAGGAGTGTTGGAGGGGAGGAGGTGGGGGAAGGGGAGGGAGGGGGGAGAGGAGTGTGAGGGGGAGGGGGAGGAGGTGAGGGGTGAGGGGGGGAGAGGAGAGGGGTGGGGGGCAGGGAGGAGTGTGGGGAGGGGAGGGTGTGGGGGGCAGGGGAGGGGGGGGGGAGGAGGGTGGGGGAGGGGAGGAGGGGGGGAGGGAGGGGGGAACAGCAAGAGGGGGGAGAGGAGGGGTGGGGGAGGGAGAGGGTGTGGGGAGGGGGAGTGTGGGGGAGGGGAGGAGGTGTGTGAGTAGGGAGGGTGTAGGGGAGGGGGAGGAGTGGGAGGAGGAGAGGGTGTGGGGGAAGTAGGGAGTGTGGGGGGGAGTGTGGGGGAGGGGGAGGGAGTGTTGGAGGGGAGGAGGTGGGAGGGAAGAGGGAGGTGTGGGAGAGGGAGGTGATGGGAGGGGAGGAGGTGAGAGGAGGTGGGAGGGAGGGAGAGGAGGTGGGGGCAGGGGGGCAGGGTGGGGGGGGGGGGGGGAGGTGTGTGGGGGGTAGGGGGAGGAGGGGAGGGGAGGGGAGGTGAGGGGGAGGGAGGAGGAGGAGCAGCAAGGGAGGGACAGGTGGGGGGAGGAGGGAGTGTGGGGGGAAGTAGAGGAGTGTGGGAGGAGGTAAGGGGAGGGGGGGAGGGTGTGGGGAGGGGAGGGGAGGAGTGTGGGGGGAGGGAGGAGGAGCAATCTGAGGGAGGGGGACAGTGTGGGGAGAAGGAGGGAGTGTGGGGGGGGGAGGAGTGTGGGGGTAGAGAGGGGAGTGTGGGGGAGGGGAGGAGGTGGGGGAGGGGGAGGAGTGTGGGGGAGGAGGAGGTGTGTGTGGGGGTAGGGAGGAGTGTGAGGGAGGGCAAAAAGTGGGGGAGGAGGTGGGGAGGGTGTGGGGGTGGGGGGTAGAGGGTGTGGGAGGAGTGTAAGGGGGGGGGAGGAGTGTTGGAGGAAGGGGAGGAGGTGGGAGGGGAAGGAGAGGGTGTGGGAGGAAGGGGGAGGAGGAGTGTGAGGGGAGGAGAGGTGAGGGGAGGAGGGAGGGGGAGAGGAGTGTGGGGATGAGGGGGAGGGGAGGAGGAGTGGGGGAGGAGGGGGAGGAGGTGAGTGTGGGAGGAGGAGTGTAGGGGAGGGAGGAGGTGGGGAGGAGGAGAAGGAGTGTGATGGGAGGGAGGAGGTGAGAGGGAGGTGATGGGAGGGAGAGGAGTGTGGGGAGGGAGAGGGAGTGTGGGGAGGGGAGGGGGAGGGTGGGGGAGGGGAGGAGTGTGTGAGTAGGGAGAGGGAGTGTGAGTAGGGAGAGGAGTGTGTGGGGGAGGGGGGAGGAGTGTGGGAGGTAGAGGAGTGTGGGGGGGAAGTAGAGGAGTGGGGGGGAGTGTAGGGAGGGGGGAGGAGTTGGAGGAAGGGGAGGAGTGTGGGAGGAGGGGAGGTGTGAGAGGGGGGAGGGAGTGTGAGTGGGAGGGGGGGGAGAGAGGAGGAGGGGAGGGAGAGGGAGTGTGGGGGCAGGGGAGGTGTGGGGGAGGGGAGGTGTGTGGGGGGGAGGGGGGGGGTGTGTGGGGGTAGGGGGAGGTGTGGGGAGGGGGGAGGAGTGTGAGGGGAGGGAGGAGGAGCAGCAGCATGAGGGAGGGGGGACAGTGTGGGGGGGGAGGAGGAGTGTGAGGGAGAAGGAGGAGTGTGGGGGGACGGGAGGAGTGTGGGGGAAGGGGTAGTTTGGTGGGAGGGGGGGAGAAGGTGGGGGAGGGGGGAGAAGTGGGGAGGGGGGGGAGGGGGAGAAGGGAGTGGGGAGGGGAGAAGTGTGGGGGGGGAGGGGGAGGGGGGAGTAAGGTGGGGAGGGGGGAGGGGGAGAAGTGTGGGGGGGAGGGGGAGGGGGAGGGGTGGGGGAGGGGTGGGGGAGGGGGAGGATGAGGAGGTGGGGGAAGGGGTAGCAGGTGGGGAGAGGGGGAGGGGGAGTGTGGGGGAGGAGGAGCAGTGTGTGGGGAGGGAGCAGTGTGTGGGAGGGGAGGGTGTGTGGGAGGAGTGTGGGGGAGGGAGGGTGTGGGGAGGGGAGGGGGGGGAGGGGTGGGGGCGGGAGAGGAGTGTGGGGGCAAGGGGTAGCAGCTTGGAGGGGGAGGGTGGAAGGGGGGAGGGTGTGGAGGAGGGGGCATGTGGGGGTGGGGGCGTGTGTGGGGGAGGGGAGCAGTGTGGGGGAGGGAGGAGTGTGGGGGAGGAGGAGTGTGGGGAGGAGGAGCAGTGTGTGGGAGAGGGAGCAGTTTGTGGGAGGGGGGAATGTGGGGGGGGGAGGAGGTGGGGGAGGGGAGGAGTGGGGGAGGGGAGCAGTGTGGGGGAGTGAAGAGCAGTGTGGGGGAGGGAAGAGCAGTGGGGGGTGGGGGGAGCAGGTGTGGGAGGAGGGAGCAGGCTGGCGGAGGAGGGGGAGCAGGCTGGCGGAGGAGGGGAGGAGGTTGGCGGAGGAGGAAGAAGCAGGCTGGCGGAGGAGGAAGCAGGCTGGCGGAGGAGGGAGCAGGCTGGCAGGAGGAGGAAGCAGGAGGAAGCAGGCTGGCGGGAGGAGGGAAGCAGGTTGGGGGTGGAGGAGGGCAGGCTGGCGGAGGAGAGAGCAGGCTGGCGGAGGAGGAGGGAGCAGGCTGGCGGAGGAGGAGCAGGCTGGGGAGTTGGAGCAGGCTGGCGGAGGAGGGAGCAGGCTGGTGGAGGTTAAGTGCGAGAGCAGGCTGGTGGAGGAGGGCAGGCTGGTGGAGGAGCGAGCAGGTTGGCGGAGGAGGAAGCAGGCTGGAGGGGAGGAGGGAGCATGCTGGTGGAGGAGGGAGCAGGCTGGCGGAAGAGGGAGCAGGCTGGCGGAGGAGGAGCAGGCTGGTGGAGGAGGGAGGGAGGCTGGCGGAGGAGGCTGGCAGGCTGGGAGGAGGGAGCAGGCTGGAGGGAGAGGAGCAGGCTGGAGGGGAGGGTGCAGGTTGGGGGAGTCTGGGAGCAGGCTGGCGGAGGAGGGGCGGAGGCTGGGGGAGGTAGTAGAGGCTGGTGTGGAGAGGGAGTAGGTTGGTGGGAGGAGGGAGCAGGCTGGCGGAGAAGGGAGCAGGCTGGCGGAGGAGGGAGCAGGCTGGAGGGGGGAGGAGCAGGCTGGGGGAGTCGGGGCAGGCTGGCGGAGGAGGGAGCAGGCTGGCGGAGGCAAGGAGCAGGCTGGTGGAGGAGGGAGCAGGCTGGCGGAGGAGCGAGCAGGTTGGCGGAGGAGGAAGCAGGCTGGAGGAGGAGGGAGCATGCTGGTGGAGTGAGGAGCAGGCTGGCGGAAGAGGGAGCAGGCTGGCGGGAGGAGGGAGCAGGCTGGTGGAGGAGGAGGGAGGCTGGCGGAGGAGGGGCAGGGCTGGTGGAGGAGGGAGCAGGCTGACGGAGGAGGGAGCAGGCCTGGCGGAGGAGGGAGCAGGCTGGCGGAGGAGGGAGCAGGCTGGTGGAGGAGGGAGCAGGCTGACAGAGGAGGGAGCAGGCTGACTGAGGTGATTCAAGGGTAGTTTTATATAACCTTCGTGTTTACTGTTTACATTAAGTGAACCGTTAATCATGCCCGTAAACATCTACAGTGACACCTCTATTTAGCGGATTATCTGGTGATACTGTAGTCCGTTATATAGAGATCCGTTAGATGCGAAACCTTCCATATAACGGACTGTATGGATGAGTACAGTCCGTTAAATAGAGTTCCGTTAGATGCGAAACCTTCCATATAACGGACTGTATGGATGAGTACAGTCCGTTAAATAGAGTTCCATTAGATGCGAAACCTTCCATATAACGGACTGTATGGATGAGTACAGTCCGTTAAATAGAATTCCGTTAGATGCGAAACCTTCCATATAACGGACTGTCACTATACCCATTAGAGTGATATCCGTTAAATGGAGTTGGATTTTATTTTATCACAAAAGAAATTTATTATTATTATTATTATTATTATTATTATTATTATTATTATTATTATTATTATTATTATTACTATTATTATTATTATTATTATTATTATTATTATTATTATTATTATTATTATTATTATTTACTGTACAAGTCTCACACGTCATACCTGCTGTTGAGGGGAATGGGCTCCCAGCTGTTGTTGATATGGTTGTTGTTGCTGTTGTTGTTGTGGAGGAGTGGGTTGTGGGTAAGAGTGTTCCTGATATGTTGCTTGTGGTTGTACTTCATGATGATATGTTTGTTGTAATTGTGGCGGTGGAGGTTGTTGATATGCTTGTTGTATATGCTGCTGTTGTTGTTGTTGTGGTGGTGGTGGTTGTTGCTGATATGCTTGTTGTTGTTGTTGGTGTGGCTGCTGGAGGTCAGGAGGTTTATCTGTAGGAGGTATGGCTCGCTGGGTCTCGGGAGGTTGAGCTCTTCCCCAAAAGCCACACCCACCATTGAGGTAAGCTGGGGAGAGAAGACGAGGTAAGTTATTGTACAGTTAGGTAAGGGCAGGTAACCTGGTCATAGGAAAACAACTATAATCCTATTAGGGTCAATATAATTAAGTTAGGGTCAATATAATTAGGGTCAAAGTATCAATAATGTGAAATAGAGAAAATAGAGAAAATAGTAGGAAGAGGAAAAATACCTGATAAAAGAGACAAACAAAGAAAAAATGGTGAAAGAAAGATAATGAAAGCAAGGTGTGTGGGAGAGAGAGGAGAGAGAGAGAGAGAGAGAGAGAGAGAGAGAGAGAGAGAGAGAGAGAGTGTTTAACATCCACAAAATCAATAATCATTAACACAATAATTTTCTTAATACATATCAATAGAAATAATTAATATCACTTTAATATATAGAAGATAAAAGAACACAAGAATAAATCGTTTGTAAATGAAAACAAATCCGTGAAGAAGTTATATTCGTTATATTTATACAGAATAAACATAATAATACTGACACCTAACTGTATCACGTACACACACACTCCCTCAATAGGAAAGATCACTCCCCGAGCGGCCGACTGAGGTGTGGCAGAGTCAGCGTAAAGGGGATAGTGTGAGGGTGAAAAGTCAATTTCTTCTGCTCTTTTATAAATTACCGCCTCACTCTTCTCTAGTAGCTGTCTCACTCACCTACACTTTTATCCAACGCCGAGGAGAGAAGTAGAGAGGAAATTTGTAGAGGCGGGGGAGGGAAGTGGGGGGGGGTGAATTAGGATATGTAAAGGGAAAGTTCAAGTGCGGTTTAGTGTTTATTATTATTATTATTATTATTATTATTATTATTATTATTATTATTGTAGATGTGTTGAATACCCGCAGTACTTTCCCTACAGGGTAACTAAGAAGAGTTATTGGTGTGTTAAGTAACTTCACTCCTCAGAAAATATGTGTATGAATGAAAGTGTATTTCAGAGGCCAGAGAGAGTGAATCTAAAGTACTCTGGTAATATATAATGTAAAGTCACTCGCTCCCCCCCCCCCAAAAAAAATATCTGTACTTGGGGTAATCGATGAATTCCAAAATAAACACTGTGACTCCTGTTGTCTCGGTAGGGTTGTCAAAATCCTTCGTCCGTTGCGTCATATTTTCTTAACACAATTTTGTGAAAAAAAAAAAATGATTGACTGTACGTAAAAACACGCCCCAAAAGAAAAAAACAATATTTTTACGATTTTGTGTTAAAACAATATGACACAACGGACGAAGAATTTTAACAACCCTATCAAGACAACAGGAGTCACAATGCTCATTTTGATATTCATTGGACCCTCTGTAAGGATACCCTACGGAGAAAGTTACCTTGGGACGGATAGATTTACCTCCTAATCGGGAATAATCGGATTATAGTTTCCTTCTCGGTAATTTTAGTTCTACCACACGAAGCTAGAAGGCTTAGTAATATTAGTGGTAGCTGTTAGGTTTGGGGGATTCCTATAGCAGAAAAAATAAGCAGGCGAAGGTTGGAAATACTACTGTAACCCTTGTTTAGACAGAGAGAAAACATCCTGATTAAATAAGAAACAAAAATACAGAAAAAACGGAGATAGACGATGAAGGCTCAACTGACAAGCATCGTGTGTACAGTCAACTACTGAAGTCCATTCGCCTCTCCTCCTGAACCACAAACCCCGATCGGAGTTAGAATCAAAACCCGAAGCAGTAGACTGATCATTTTTGTGTCCATAAATGCTTCGGATTCACGAGTCTGAATCTTGGGGTTTAGTGGTTCAGGAGGGAGACGCGAATGGACTGTACGCGCCAGGGTGCTGGAGGGTGAAGTAGTTTCTGCCTCATGGATGAACATTGAAGACTGAACCTTTGAAAAAGTCTCGGAGTAATGTTTCGATTTACTGTATGCCTGGGTTAAGACTTCCTTTATGTCTTGGATAACTTAAGCTTATATCAGTGGATGGTGTTTTTGTTCAAGCTTTGGCTGTCTTTATTCAAGCTTTAAAATGTGTGTTTAAAGTTTTAAGTGTGAATTGAAGCTTTGGTTTGTGTGTTTAAGATTTGAAGGGTTTGTTTAAGCTTTGGAGCAAACTAATTATATATATATATATATAATTTTTTTTTTGGTGGGGGGGGGGTACTCGATAAGTCACTGTGCTTGAATACTGTAATTAATCTTCACTTATATCCAGGTCTGAATCTTTACTTACATCAGGAATTCAATTCTCTCAACAGCTTGTAGCAGTATCTTCTCAATGCAGTCTTGTCTTGCATAATGCCGACTGCCTGCATTTGTGTGTGTGTGTGTTTCTTTACAGTTCTTCCTACACCACGACAGTCGTTGGCCTCAGTGTGTGTACATAAGTAAGGAGAAAAAGAAATGTTTCCTTGGCAGCTGATGGTTGTGGCTTTTGTGCAAACACGAGGAGGAGGAGAGAAAGGAGTGCTTTCTTGACAGCCAATGTTGTGGTGCGCATCACTATAAATGTCACACACTCACCATAACACCACCCATCTGGCCTCTAACAAATGACATATATTTTACCCAACAACGACCTTCTGTCTGATATGAAACTGTTTTTATCACTCGGTCCAGAAAGTTCCTTGTTGTTTTCTTGCTAGTACTGTACGAGTATCATATATATATACTTAATTCACGAAAAATACTAAGATTATTAATTTAGTTTTGTGATTCAAATGCATTAAACATATAATTAAAGAATCGAAGCACCAATATGAATGCAAAATGTAACTAGTAGTCCCCCACCAGGTACTATCGTGGACAAAAGTTCGCTCCCTGTGGTGGAACTGAGTCACAGGAATGAGTCTTGGAACTGACTTACCCTGACTGTGTGCGGGTGTGCTTGCTGTTTTGTTTCATTTGGGGTCGATACTGCTTCAGTTTTGGAGGGAGCGAACTATTGTCCACGATAGTACAGCAGTGAGGACTATGGACAGATAGCTATACTCTACTGGTCTGTATACAAGATCCCCCGACGCAGAAAACAGAAAGAAGATCTTGAAGTAAAATATTAGACTTACAGAGATAGAAGTCGATGATAAGGAGAGGACGTCCACAGCAATTTCGTTTGTCTCAATGTCTGACTGAGCATTCCACCGCCTGCCTGAGCACTCTAGAAACCGCATGAACACTCCAACACATACCTGAGCACTCCAGCGCCTGCCTGAGCACTGTAGCGCCTGCCTGAGTACTGTAGCGCTTGCCTGAGCACTCTAGCGTCTGACAGAGCACTCCAAAAATTGCATAAACACTGTAGCGCCTGCCTGAGCACTCTAGCACCCGCCTGAGCACACCATGGTTCAAAGTGGAAACAGGCGGAAACATCTCAACACCGATGCCAGACCAGCTCATCATAACTCAGGGTCACGAAATCTCACATTGAAACAACACTAATCAGTTGATGATCAAAGTTGTCTTAAGGTGGATTCATTTATTCAGAAACAACAAAATGAGTTCAAGGACTTCAAGGTCAACGTTGTTATGATAGTTAAGATAAAATTACATCTAACCTGGTGTTCTGTGTATATCGTAAGCTGTAACACACACACACACACACACACACACACACACTCGAGACTCTATTAAACTTTTCAGAGTTGAACTTAAAACAAAATCAGTTGGGTTAAAATTCAAGTAAAAGTTGTGTTAGTTCGTCTTGGTGGGATTAAAGTTATTTAAGGAGTCCTGATCTATCATGTAAGGTGCAGTTTTGTGGCGCGCGCGTGTGTGTGTGTGTGTGTGTGTGTGTGTGTGTGTGTGTGTGTGTGTGCTGCTCTGCATCACACAACTAGCATCAGCAGCACTATAAAAAAGATTAGTGCCACTGATGCTGCAACACCTATTTGACTATGAGGTCACTATGCTGTCACCAGGTCATTAAGAGGAAGGAAGGTACGTGGACGCCCCAAAAAGTGTGTAAACAGTATTGGAGAAAACTGGACACTCTGCCAAGCCTACCAAGCCTACTACAATGTTAGTATAGGTTGGAGGGGGGCCCATTGGAGCACCAGTCAGCCACAACACAGCAGACGTGGCAAGGATTTACACATCACTCGTATCTGAAACTTGTGTAAAGTACAGAATACTTTCATCGAAGGGTTGAGCCTCCAGTCGTCAACTCATCTAAATATTACGATTGTGATTCACTCTAATGAATTCTTGGCCGTAATGAGATCAAGTCATAATGGCCCTTAACTATAATGGGCCTCAGTTCTAATAGTTAAGTTGATCTAGGTTAGAGTTAATCGAGACTGAATCCCTTTTAACCTGCAATCATTGTGTGTCTTTCAGTGCAGCCGTCGACCTATTGATCCATACATTAAATATACACAGTACACTCCTAGGTGGTATAGGTGTATTAAGGGTATACAATGAGTGTATGTTTAAACTCAAAAGTTCATCCGTTATATCTCTCCATATCCGGAAGTAAGAACGAATTTAATTGGCTCACTTCCAGACTGAGAAAGTCTGTAACATTGTAACTTTTCTCCTGAGCTGATGAGTTGTCTTATTATTACATAAAAAATACAACTTTTGAGAATCTTGGTCAGTATACCAACATTAGAATGTGTGTGTGTGTGTGTGTGTGTGTGTGTGTGTGTGTGTGTGTAAATAAGTTTCTCTCCCTCTCCCTACTGTACAAACATAACAAAACACAGAGGGGTGGGAGTCCCAGGCGGCTGTCATCAGAACGCGGATGAATACACAGCGGAAACAATGTAAACAAAGTAGTTCCCTGGAGGTCAGTAATGGATCTCTTGCGTCGCATTTAGGACATTTGGACCACGGACGTTTGGTTTGGGCCAAGGTGGTTAGGACCTAACCTAACCATGGCCCAAACGTCTGCTCATCCTCAAGTCGCTGCTTAAAACCTTCCTACTTTTTCTCCTCCCCAGATTTAGAACACGAAAATGAATCCTACGATCGAGTCTCATATTTTGTAGATATTCATGTCGTCGCCCTCACTACATCGTGGCTATTGTGAGGC